AATGTCTTCCTCAGTCAAACGCCAGCTTAGTAATGTCCAAGTATACTGTAACATACCAAAAAATATTTTAAAGTAATTAAAGATTCTAACCTATAGCTTAGAATCATAAAAAAGTTTAATGCTTAGAAACTTAAAAATATTTTGCCGAAGCCAATGATTCGGCAAAAAAAAACCATGGCTTCGGCCGAACCGAAGCCTCGGCAAAACTGCCGAAGCTTTAGTACATCCCTACTAAAAAGTTAGTCGACTAATTTTAGTTAACTAAAAAGTTAGTTAATTAATTTTAGTTAGACTAAAAATTTAGTCAAGTATTTTTAGTTAGACTAAAACTAACCTTAACACCCATTTTTTTGTAAATGTCAGCTGATATTTCTTCTTACTTACTCTTCTTTCAACCTTTCTAGTACTTCATCAATTGTAAGAACTTCTCCACAACTCGCTTGAACCCTTTGTCTTTTGTCTTAGAATTTTTCAAAGCTGTATTCACAATTTCAAGTTGATTAGGTAGTAGTGTGGTTATAATTGCATGCCTTAACTTTCTTATTGGTTATACCCTAACTAATGGGCCTGGTGAATTTGAACAATCTGAATTGCTAGAGGGTTTCATGACGTTTCCAATATTATTCGATTAGTTTCATGAGCTTAAAAAATTCCATATTTAGGATCTGTTTGGGTTGAAATGTTGGATTGGATTAAAACATATTTACTATCCAGAATGGTTGGGTTCACCATCCAGGTTTAAAATCATCTATTATGTGAGGTATAAAACTACCTATTATGTGATTAGATTTGAATGAGACTCTTTAAAATATCTTTAAAAGACTTGGAAAAATTACACTACATTTTTAAGACATGACGGTACCATGTCTTTAACATATTTTACTAGTTGTTTTTAATAGGAGCAAATACGTTAACGTCTAATGGTTGAAGAGCATGCGACTTATGAGGCGGTAAACATAAAAGTATGATACTAAAAATGGTTTTTCACAAATAATACTAAAAATGGCTTTTCACGGTGTTTTGTTTTTCTAATAAATGCATTTAACCATTTAAAAAAAATATAATCATGCATCCTAAACTAGATTCTGTAACCCAATACAGTGTACCTGGAGGTCTTTCTGTTACCCAAGTAGGTTGTATCTCTCCTTTTCCTTTATAAATAACACAATGGGGATAGCGTTCATCGTCAGCATTTGCTACAAAAAGAACACTGTACTGCAGTCTCCCGGGACCTTTTGAAAGTAAATACGTTATCCTAACACTTTTAGTAACAAATACTTTACCCTTAGTAGGGTTAGTACATAGGCCAGTTTCATCTAAATTAAATATTCTTACTGGGTGGTCATTTAAGTTGTTTTCATCCAAAGCGTTTTGATAAATTTTAAAATATTTATTCACAACATATTTAGATAGCCCTTCGGCCCCAAGCTTTAATCAGCAGTTTAGGCTTTGGCTTTGTAAGTTTTTTTCCATCTTCTTTCAAAATTTATTATGTCAAAATCAGGTGTGTCATTTTAAATGGTGTCTTCCTACCCGCTTACTGTATATAACTGTGAACCAGATATTGTAGATCTTTTCTGTCTAGTGGATATCCACAATTTGAAATTAAAAATTTAGGCATCTACTACATATTCGTGTTCTTAAGCTGTTAATACTGTCTGCGCTTTAATAGGTTGGATGATTCGCGCACTATCGTCTCAAATTTTCTTACGAAATATTGTACTTTTTTTGCAGCTGCATAAATTGATTTTCCATTTTTAACATCTTCTTTAATTCTTTCAATCATATTTAAAAGTTATTTTTCATATATGTGCGTGGCATTATCTAAAACTAAAAGTTAGGTTAGTTTTAAAGTTTACGGTTGTTATACCGACATGAACTCGAACTTTTAAATAATTAATTACAAATCAAATAATATATATTAGTAGCCCAAGTTAATAAAACAAGAAATTATTATTATCTAATGTATACATACTTAAATTAGATAAAAATATCTCAATGGAATAACAAATGACAATGCTTTGATATATATTTTTTTATTTAACTGATGTTTATACATAACCTATAAAATTTTTAAAAAAAGTCGTGGTCAGTGTTGCCAATATAATTTGTAAAAAAGTCGTGGTCAGTGTTGCTAATATAATTTGTAAAAATGCCGTGGTCAGTGTTGCCAATATAATTATTGGTGTTTTTATATGTGTCTTTTATAAGTGCATGAGGAACACATTCATGATAATTTTTATTTGCGTATATAGTTATAATTTTTATATAGAAAATACAATTTATACCTAAATTACCCAACCATACTCAAAACCCCGACAGACCCTACAGATTAATAAAGCAATAAGAATTTCCGCAATCTTCTTGGTTTTGGCAAAAATAAGCATTATGGAAATCAATAGTTTGGCGTGCGGAAATAAAATATTTTTTGCATATAAAAGTATAAAAGAGTAAATTCTTTAGGCTCAAAAATGTCGATGAAAATTCTGAATATACTCTCTTTATAAGCACCTATACAAAGATTACTGTGATCAATTATCATTTTGATAATTAAAAATTTGTAAAATGTATTTTTAAGAGGTTATACCTATCATTAAATAACGTTCAAATTTAAACAAAATGTCCAAGTTAAAACATCTCTGTTGGATTTCAAACTATGATTTCAATTTACAAAATTTACAATTGACAAAACAAACTTCCTTCTTACATAAAAAAGAATAGTTAAAAAATTGGATAAATTTACTTAGCAGACACAAAAGTTTAAGTTATAAACTTGATACAGAACACTTTGC